TCGGGAGGTCCCAGGTTCAATCCTCAGCTTCTCCAGGTAATACAGGCCAGGCAGGAGGCAATGAGAAAGGCCTCTGCCTGAGACCCTGGAGAGCCGCTGCCAGTCTGAGTAGACCATACTGAATGTTGACGGACCAAGTGTCTGATTCAGTCGAAGGCAGCTTCATGTGTGTTCATGTGTGACTGTTGCAGCAGTTCTACCAGACTGATGGGCAGTGCCGACTTGAAGGCACCCACTGAACCACCTCCTCCTCCTCCCCCTTTGCTGTCCGTCTTCCCTCCTCCGATGGAAAACGACATTCCTCCTCCCCCGCAACCAGATGTCTTGCTGCCCCCACCTCTTGCAATGGATGATTTGCCTCCACTCTCTGCACCAGGTAAGGCCTTTGTTTAGGTTTGCCAGCCTCCAGGTGGGGCCTGGAGATCTCTAGTTTTTACAACTGATCTCCAGCTGACAGAGATCGGCTCCCCTGGAGGCAATGGCTGCTTTGGAGGGTGGACTCTTGTGGCGTTGTAGCATGCTGAGGCCCCTCCCCAAACCCCGCCCTCTCCCGGCTACACCCCCAAAGTCTCCAGGTATTTCCCGACCCAGACCTGGCAACCCTACCTTTGTTAGTACACAGAATTCAAAATCAGGTCAGGCAAGTTGGAACTCAGAACACAACCTACACATATAGAAATTGGTACTGGCTTCAGAATTCAGCATCCTGGGAACTCCATCCATTCTTCAGGCTAACAAAACGGAGTAAGCTTCCAGCTCTTATCATTTCAACAAGGACCTTATGATCTAGGGAAATTTCAGAAGCCGGTAGGGCGCTGAGAAGGGCACCCAGCGGCTGATGGCCGGTTAGGAGCTCCGGCGCCCTGCGCAACTGTCTCTCTTCCACAACTAAGAACAGAAAAGTACATACAGAAAAGTACACACATTTGATTTTCTTCTGCTTTGGAGTACATTAATTCACAGGGTTGTCGTAAGTCGGAAGCAACTTCACAACACTTAACACTCACATCTGAAGCAACCAGGGATCATTTTGAGGGGAAATGACACGGAACGGTGTTCCGGGAGTAACAAGCCCAGGCGTCAGGTTGGCTGGGGAAGGGAAGGGCAGGCAGACAGACATGCCTCCTTTTTTCCCTGAGCCTCTCCGCTTTTGCGGAGAAACTCAGGGAAGTGAGGGGGGGGTTAAATGCTTTTCCCACCTGGGGAAGGGAAAGAAAGGCATTTTAAACATGTTTGGGTTCCCTGCCACGGGGCACCTGGAGAAGATCAGGTAGGGAACCCAGGCATGCTTCTTGCATGCCTGCCCTTTGTCAGGGGGTGTGGCATATGCAAATGAGTTGTGCAAATGAGCTCCTGCACCTTCTTTTCTATGAAATGACCCCTGGAAGCAACCAACTGCTTACTGACTTGTTTGCAGATCTGGATTTCCCAGCATCCCCTCCACCACCACCTCTGGACGTCACTGATCTTGAATTATTGGGGCCTCCAGTCCTGCCTCCTCCACCACCCCTGGAAAAATTGCCATGGGCCCCGGAGACCTATCTAGATAAAGGTACCTTGTTAAAGAATGGCCAAGGTGTGTGTGTGTGTGTGTGTGTCTAACTCTTTCTGCCTACTGAAAAAAGCCATGGGGATGACCCCAGGGATAATTCTAAAATGGTGGTGGAGCTCAGTGCCATCTGCGAGGCCGATATCATTCAGCAGCAAGCAGAGCAGGCCCTCAGGGGTCCCTTGGCTTGGAGCTGGCCAGCAACAATAGCCCCAACGATGGGTGGAAGCTTGCCCATTGGCATTGCCACCCACAGGCTGAGTTCAGCATTCCCTGTGGTGTTACGAGCACTGCTTGGGCTCAGTTTGGCTCTGCCAGGGGCCTCCAAGGTAGCACCCTGCTGGAAACTTTCCCGTGAAGTTAAATGGCCAACCTGTGTCTGGAGACATTCCTTCTACTGTGCAAAACCTTAATTCCAGCTATTGGGGAATCAGCTGTAGTTCTCCACCCAGTGGTGAGGGTGAGGCCTTCTGTAAGCCACTCTCTTCTCCATTCAGATGTTCCTGATTTAAGCCTGGCTGTTCAAAGCAAGGTGGGTTAGATCCAGTGTTCCCTCTAAGCTGTGGAATCTTGAGAGCAAAAATTCTACTTTGTGAGCGACTGGCATTAAAGTTGTGAGCAAGCGATTTGGCTACTGCATAAATTCGTTTGCTCTGGAGCCGTTCTTCCTAAGACAAAAATGTGTGAGCTGGAGGCTAAAAAAACTGTTAGCTAGGTCATAGGAGCTCAGCTTAGAGGGAACACTGGTTAGATCTGACCTATGTCTGCACAACATAATCTTGAGCTCCTACCTGGCTGGGGTAGATTTCTCCATCTTAGGAGATGGATCCGGCATGACATTTCCACTTGTGATACAGCCCTTGCACAAACAGAAAAAAGAGCGGAGTAGCTGCTTCCACTAAATCAGACTTGTTGTATCTCCACTCGTGCACAATATCAGGTGCTACCAGTTTTGGGGCACTGTAATCTAAAGGGAGGAAAGTGCTTGGTGCTGCTGCTGCACAAAATTTTGCTCAAGCAAAGTCACATGAAGTCCCTTTATGGCCCTCCTCGCACGTTATGGGATCCAAGCCTCTACGTATCTTAAAAACATCAACCATCTATTAGCCGGGCTGGCTAGCCCAGGTCTTGTAGAGGTGACTGCACTCACGCAGGGAGCAATCCATTCAAAAATTCTCCTGCACAGGCTCCATTGTGAAAGTTGGGAGCTCCACGTGAGAAAAAGCGCCCTTGGTGTGAGCTTCCTGCCCATCTCACTTCACATCCACAAACCTGATCGACCCTCCTTCTGCCTCTGCCACCCTTAACGGAGCCCAGCTTTTACCGCCTCTGTTTTTTTATGCCACCCTCCCCTTCTGTAAACTTTGTGGCAAGGAGTTCCACAGGTTAAATATGAATCTGTTTGAATGGACGCTCACCAAAGGGCAACCTCCCACGACTGGATCTTAAGTTGGGAGGTTGCTTCTTATCGTATAGTCCCTTCCTCTGACTCTCACTTGCCCCCCCCCCCCCCCCCCCCGGTTCTTTCCCTCGTCTGCAGTGGTGACGCTCTACCCTTACGCGAAACAGAAAGAGAACGAACTGTCATTTGACGAAGGGGCTGTTCTTTACGTGACCCGGAGGTACTCTGACGGCTGGTGCGAAGGGGTGAGCAGCGATGCCGAGGGCTTGTTCCCAGGGAACTACGTCGAGCCTTTGCACTGACAGAGACAGGGGGAAAACAGGGGCTCCTGCTGCCAAGCTCTAAGGATAAGAGCTCACTAAAAGGCACATTTAATTCTGATGACTTGTTCTGACATTGAAGTGAGCAGGCAGGAGAGATCCTGGCTGGGTGGAGGCTACTCTCCGAAGCCAGGGCTGCCCATCACTCCATAAGCCAGGCTGATAATGAAGGGGGGGGGGTTAGGTGTCTCTCTGTTTATTGCAATAAAAAGATTTAGTTATTTGGGCTTCCCCACCCCACCCCGCTGCACTGTATTTAAGCAGTTATTCAGGCACCAGCCACAACCTCATTCTCCCCAGCCTCTCACATAACAATTAAACATCCCTAAAGTGCATTGAAGGGCATTGTGTGGTCTTTTCCACTGAACTTCCAGCTGGTGGAGCTATCGCATTGCTTGGAACACTTAAAGGAATGGCAAGGACAAGAGGGGTGGGATTTGGTCAGGAAGACATGGGATTGGAAAGGTGGTCTCAGGCTGAATGTTGCTTCGTTCAGTAGCTCGGGAAAGGCTACAGTTGACAAGCGTCCCGTTCTTTTAATGCAGCACAGTTTGGCTCACAACAGGCGCACTCAGCCTCTGCGAGGACAGCAGTGGACACTTAACCACGCCACCACAAAACCTAAAAGAACAGAACAAAAACAGGGAGGTTTGGATTGCTCCTTACCAGCTGACAGAGGCTCAAACTATACATGCAACACGTGATCACTGTGGGGACATCAGGACTCCTGCCGCGAGCTCCTCGTGGGCACTCTATTCTTAAACACCGCAGGGGCCTGATTCAGATCATGACCATGGTGTGGTGGGGGGAGTTTCATCCTTCCTCCTGCTCTGTTTTCCTGCCCCAAGGATGCATTATTTGCCCCCTGGGGGGTTCTTAACCTGTACATCCATCCCTATGGGGTAGATGACATGTCCTGGTGGTGAAAATGTTCCTGGGAGAAGCTGCTTCCCGCACTCTGATGCCAGTCAGGATCAGACCCTTCTGGCGCTTCAGGACTGAAGTCCCATGGGGACTCCTTAACTGCAGCCCCTATGCCACTGGGGTTTTGTCTTTATGGGTTCCACAGTCCCAAAAATAGCCTTTTGGGTTGCCTAAGCAGCAACAGCTCCACATCCTCTCTCTTTCCCCAACAGAAAACCTGGTAGAATCCACCTCTTGCTGTTGGAGTGGTCATGAGCACATGAAACTGCCTTGTACTGCCCTGACCTGGATGGGCCAGGCAAACCCGATCTTGTCAGATCTCGGAAGCTAAGCAGGGCCGACCCGGGCAAGTACTTGGATGGGAGGCAGCCTTTGAATACCAGCAGGCGGGAGGAGGGGGTAGACTTTATTCAGCCGCCTCTCTGAATATCCTCCAGGCCCTCAGTAGGGGTCAGTCACTAGGTGTCGCCATGACTTCCAGGTGCGCACACACTCACTCACACACACACATATGGACCATTGTTCCCTCTAAGCTGAGTTAGTGTGAGCTAGCTCACAGTTTTTTAGCCTCCAGCTCACACATTTTGGTCTTCGCTCCAGAGCAAACTAATTGATGCAGTAGCCAAATCACCTGCTCACAACTTTAACACCAGTAGCTCAGAAAGTAGGATTTTTGCTCACAGGACTCCATAGCTTAGAGAGAGTATCGACATGGACATATGAAAAATACAAACAACACAACAAAAAAGGGCCAGGCAAGAGGTGATGGGAAAGACCTCTGCCTGAGACCCTGGAGCGCTGCTGCCAGTCTGAGTAGACAATACTGACCTTGATGGACCAAGGGTCGGATTCAGTATGCAGGGCTATTTTGGGGCAGGAACAGAGTTCCAGCTGGCTTCAGAGTTGGCCACGCCCACTACAGCCAAAACCTCTGCATGCGTGGCTACAGAGGGAAGGCCTGAAGAGTGCCCCCCCCGTGACTCCGAGGTGGGCGGGCCGGGGGGGCTGGAAGGATCAGGGAGGCATTTAAATGCTTCCCGATGCCTTCCCCAGCCTGTCCAAGGGCCGGCTTGCCCAGGCTCCCCACAGCCACGGGGCGCCCAGTCAAACCAAGGGAAGGCAATTTAAACTGCTTTCCCTTCCCTTCAAGGGGGGGCTTGCCTGAGTTCCCCGCAGCCGCAGGGTACCTGGGCAAGCCAAGGGAAGGCACGGGGTGTGGCCTAATATGCTAATAAGCTGTGCTGTCAGGGGTGTGGCCTAACATGCTAATGTTTTTCCTGTTGTTGGGTGTGGCCTATTATGCTAATGAGTTCCTGCTGGGCTTTTTCTACAAAAAAGCCGAGTATAAGGCAGCTTCATGCTTTCCTTCAGAGTGACACCCTTCTATATGTATCCTCAGAAGGGGTGTGACTCTACTTGGGATGGCACTTCAATTCTGTGCTTCAGACACTGAGAGTGTCCAAAAAGTGAAGCCTGTCAAGCAGTCCAAAAAGGGGCCATTGCAGCAGAACCTCGTGGCATTTGCACCTTTGCAGGGGCTTTTATGGTCTAGTCCACAAAAAAAGTTATGCTAGAATTAAATAATAATAATAATGTGCTAGTCTTAAATGTTCCACAAGGCTGAAGTCACGCCAGCTGACAATTACCATCAAGGGATCATCTGCATGGGCTGAATTAGCTCTATGTCTTCAGGTATCTGCCGGCTGAATGAGAGATCATTAATATTTCCCTGTGAAATGTCAACATGCTGCCTGGGGATAATCGCAGCCATGGATATCAGTGTGTGAATGTAAAATGCTGCGGGCACGGGAGACGCCTGACACCATGGGCATGCTCTGAGAGGTATGCACTGTGTACGTGTGAGGAAGGGAGGGAGCGAGAGACAGGCAGACGGATGGATGGGTGTGGCCTAATATGCTAATGAGTTCCTGCTATTGGGTATGGCCTATTATGCTAAAGAGTTCCTGCTGGGTTTTTTCTACAAAAAAACCCCTGCTCAAGCGATAACTGGACAAGGAGACGTTGGCAAAAGCTGCACCATATCCTGAGATCCCCCCCCCCCGGTAACGATTGGCACATGTATTTGTATTGAGGGGCTGCATTTCTTTAAAGGAGATAGAAACTTCCCCACAACTGCTCTGGATTCGAGTCCACTTCCCAACTTGTGTGCCCTTCCTTTCCCCCCCTTCCCCTATCACCATCTTTGCAGGAGTCACCCTAAGCTACATCACACCCTTCTCTTCTAAGTCTGTTGAAGTCAATTGCCTTAGAAGGAGGTAAACCCTGCTTAGATTGGCACTGGTAAACTGAGAGAATGTTCAGCAGTTTCACCAAACCACAGTGTCCAGGATTCGAGGGGTGTGTGCACGCTGTAGCAGCTAAACTGATAGAAAACAAATATAAGATTGGACTGCCCTTCCCGTCCGTTTTATTTTAAAATGATGGATTTGCACCATGACCCCCTGGTTAGTGTAGATACTTTGGTAAAGATTTCTGTAAGCAATCCCAACTACAGCATGCTCCTGTGCATAGAAATGAAGACCCCATTCCTAACCCTTATTGATGTAATTCAAATGGCAAGTTAGCACAGCCTCAGTGTGCCTCAGAGCCATGCAAGAAAGGAGAGGGTTTAACTCTTTAAACTCCAATTGTCTTCACTACTCAAAACCACCCTGCTATTGGCATTTAAGATAATTGGCATTTAAAATAAACATTACTGGCATTTAAAAGGAGAAAACACCCTTTCTCTCTTAAAATGCTAATAACAGAGCAGAGGGGAGCCGGTTTCGAACAATGCAGAGTGGAAGTTGAACAGTTAAACCCGGGCAACCTTCTGTGCAAAGCCCCGAGGCAAATTGAGGCTACAGACTGAAACACATGATCGGATTGAGCCCTAAGTTCCTCCCCACCAGCTTTCCCCCTCTGATTTACTGGGGAAGGCGTTTTGGGGGGGTGAGCACACATGCTACATGCCAAAAAAAGAAGTCTACAATGGCTGGAAGTGCATACAAGTGGGAAGTATTTGAAGATCAGGACCAGGAAAGCAGTGACATCAGAGTTCTAGTTTGGACACACCCTTACAGAAGTGGGATAGCAAAGGTAGCCCCATGTAACATGCCGCTGGGGGCTTCCCATGTGGTCTACTGCTAAGTGGGTTCCTTCCTTAACTAGTTCCTTCCCCTCAGCCACCCCTATATCAGATTGCACCTTTCTAGCCTGCGGACCTTCTCCTACCAATGCTATGCCCCCGCCCCCAAGCAGCATCAACACACCCCACACGATTGTGCTGGGAAGGGAGCAGTTCCCACCCACCCACGCCTCCAGCAGAAGTGCTCTCTCTTCTAACCAGCTGGGTCTGGGCAGTTCATCTTCTCCACAAGCTGAGCCCTGGGACAGGGGAAGAATTAGTGTTCAGACCGAACAGGTGACTGGGCCCGGCCCCAAGCGGCTGTGCTAAAGCGGCCATGTTTTCTTCTCCAGAGGTTTGAGCCCTTCTCCTTTTTCAGAGCAGTAGTAAAAGATTTTGTTCTCCCATTGGAAGGAGCAAGACCTGCAAATGCAAGGGAGCGGGAGGGAGGGATAGGGAAAGCTACTAGTTTTAACCCCTGCCTGGCTTAAGTGCTTGGGTGGCAACAGAAACCTTCCCCAGATCTCCCCCAAATGCTTCTGAGAGTGTGCTTGAGAGAGAATGAGTTTAGGGAACTTGGAAGCAACAAAAAGGTTTTCAAAAGACGAATACAGAGCTGAATGGCCAGTCATCCATCCACCCTTCTTTGAATGGATTTCCTAACTGCATAGAGAACCCTCATCCCAAGACCAAAGGAAGGGAAGATCCAGAGATAGAGGCTTCGAGGGACCGAGAGGAAGGAAACCCAGCATTGACCCAAAAAGCACAAGAGAGGTATGCTGCTTGGAGGGTGACGTGGGGCTGCTTCTTCCACCACCAGGTCCTCTCTCTCCTCAATAGTCCTTCTTGAGGGCTTCTTGGAGACAGCTCCAGAGTTCGAGACCCGAATCCCAAGGAACTACTGCAGCCTGGTATTTCCCAGGTTGGCTCTTCTCCATCTCGAGGATCAGCCGGTGCATCGGGTAGCCTTTTCTCGGGAACGCCACATCTGTGGATTTCATAGCCACAGACGGGCAGAAGTCATTGGCTCCGTCGCCAACGTAGAAGATCTTCTCAAACCTGACTCCTTTGTGAGCCCTCTCGGCCAGGTATTCCGTCAGGATCTTGCGCTTGCACATGTTAGCCGGACATCTCGGGCAGTTGTGCGAGTGGTAAGGGCCTAGGGTGAAGTAGCCCCTTTTGTCAAAGCTGGACGGGTTACTGAAGATTTTGCGGAAGAGGGGGTAGGCGCCGGCGGCCTTCAAGGCACATTCGATCCCGAACATGTTGGCGTCGGACATGAGGATGATCTCAAAGCGGTCCTGCTGCTGGGAAAGGAACTGGAAGAGGTCGCGCATGCCAGGAGAGAGCGGGATGTTCTCATAGACGGCTTTGAAGTCCGCCATCTTCACCCCTTGGTCGCCCATGTACCTCAACACCCTCTGCATGTACTCATTATAGAAACCCTCGCGGTAGGTTTGGCGGATCGACTCTGGAAGCTGCTTCCCGGGAAGGGCCCGGAGGATGGAGTCGTCGCTGTTCTCATTGATGATCGTCTCGTCAAAGTCAAAGATGAGGAGGTATTTGGGGGGCTGCGTGGCCGCCGTGTTCCCGTCCTGCACCAATAACAGACACAAGACTCATGAACAGAAGCAACAACGTTAAGTGTCCTGTGTTCAGCGCTGCTATTTACAATGCCTCCCCACCCCCAGCACAAGAGAGACACGGTGGGTTTGTCTCAAGGGTGAAACAGGGGAGAAAAGACGGTTGTGCGGGCTATGAAATGCATTTGAAGCACACAGTTCTCTCTGTATTGGGTCATACCCTTGTTCCCTCCCCAGCCCGATATCATATACAGAGTAGAAAATAGTCAATGGCGACCGGGATATATTTATGAAGGAAATATCACTTTTATAGATTTTTTAAAAAAATAGATCAGTATTAATACGAGCACATTTCTGGACAGTCATACAAGAATAAACATCAAAAAAAATATTCCACAATGCTGACAACTATTCATGCGTCTGAGAGAAAGCATACAGAGAGGAAGCTGGAGCAGAGAAGATTTCACTGAGCGTGAGCATTATGCAGAGAGACGGCATGCGGAGATGAATGCTATTTGGGAAAGGATTCACAGAGTCTACATGTATTCTGCTCTGAAGAGAGAAGAGATTGGATTTATACTCCACCCTTCACTTGGAGTCTCAGAGCAGCTTACAAACTCCTTTCCCTCCCCCTCCCCTCCCCACAACAGACACCCTGTGAGGTAGGTGGGGCTGAGAGAGCTCTGACAGTAACTGCTCTTTTTCAAGAACAGCTGTGCCAGAACTACGGTTTGCCCAAGGTCATCCAGCAGCTGCAAGTGGAGGAGTGGGGAATCAAACCCGGTTCTCCCAGATTAGAGTCCACGCACTTAACCACCACACCAAAGCCTTAGGAAACAGGTGCTGGAGCAAGCCTGTCTGCAGATTCATGATCTCTATGCTATTCATCTACTATCCAATACTAGTACAAGAAAGACTCAAAGATGTACTGTTTGTAAGAACTTTAGATTATTGGACTGTGCTTGTCAACACCGTGGAATCCTTTTTCGATGTTTAGTCTTGTATGCCTGTAGTGTTAGTCTTAACATTGATCTTTTTTTTGGAAGATCTATAAGAGAGTGATATTCCCTTCATAAATATATCACAGTTGCTGTTGACTATTTTCTACTCACTTATCCCGTGATCTCTCTCTCTCTGGTTACCCATATCTGAGATCATATACATGCAGTGGTTTCCTGGGCCCTCGGACCAAGAAACGGCTTTTCCACCGCCTGCTGAGATCTTATAACTGGGGAGGTCGGAGACTTGAACTCGCAGCCTTCTGCAGGCAAAGCATGTGCTCTACCCCTCGCCCCTGCGATCATGTTCTTACAAATTCTTAATTTATTTTAATCTTGTCTCATTGGGAACAGATGGGACAGATGTCACACCCCATGGAAAAGGAAACGGTAGCAAGCTAGCTGGGACATTCTGCTCTCTCACTGCATGTCCCCATTTCAGACCACAGCTTTGCCTCCCCAGCTGGTGAAGTGGACCAGGTGCCGCTTCTACCTTTGCCTCCGTAGGGAGTAGCCAGTTGGGTTCTTCACAATCCTCACCATTGCTGGAGAGATAGAACAGATCCTGCTGTTCCCAGAGCTGCTACCGTCAGGCAGGGCTTTTCATCCTGCTGCCTTTGGCTGCCAGATCCTCCCGAATATGAATGACTTGCCTCCCCAATGTGCTTATGGGACCCCCAGTGTGATAAAAATCTAACAGTCCAAGCAGGGAGTAAATCGGAGTCTGCAGCAATGCAAGTGAACGACTTGGAAATATTGGCACTGCCCGGTGGCGTCTTTGAGCATCCTTCAAGCTCAGCTAGGACCTTAATCTTTTCCTCATATATCTTCAACTCTGACCGTAAGAAGCTTAGCCACCAGTAAATCAGGCTTTGTGTCTTTCTTAAGCCTGGTGGTCACACTGTTTTGCGAACAGGACCATTACCGGCCTTGGGACTTCCATGTCAGCGTCCCAAGAGGGCAATGATGTGAGATGGGAGAACTGCAAAACGCATTGGAAATTTGGGGAGGAAAAGGTGACTATGACATCACATGGATTTTGTTGTTTTTTTTAAAAAAAATCCCAAGCAATTATCTGCATAAGAAGCCTGGTTGCGATTTGACTGCCTAAGATGTTCAAGCTGTCAGCTAAAGGGGGGGGGGAAGGGTAATATTCCTTATGATTATATAGAGTTAGTTGCAGTTCTGGATCAGGAAATACTGGGGGGTTTTGGGGGTGGAGCCTGAAAAGGGGTAGGTGTGGGGAGGGGAGGGACTCCACCCGGGTCTAATGTCATAGAGACCACCTTACAAAGCAGCCGTTTTCTCCAGGTGAAGCGATGTCCGTCACCTGGAGACCAGTTGTAATTCCAGGAGATCTCCAGCCACCTCCTGGAGATTGGCAACCCTATTTGCAGTGTTGGGAGGGAAAACCTACTCAAATGTTGGAGGGACAGAGATTCTGAGCCACACCAGACTGCCTGGTCCCTCCATACTTCTTAACCGTTTTACATACCTGTTTCATGTTGGGACGTGAACGTATATACATCTAGCCCACCAATCAGAAATGAGGAATGCCAACCAATGACGAGAGAGAAAGAGAGAGAGGTGTGGCCAAGATGGTGTGGGTGGCAGAGGTAAGGTAACTCAGGAAACAACCAGTGGGTCATGGCGCTGAGGGAGTTGGGGCTTTAGCCTATGAAGCTGTATGTTTGAGCCCCTTTGACGAGAGAGGGTGGCCGGAGCTTCTGATTCGGAGCTTCTGCTTTGTGACAACCCAGTTTGCCAAGAATTGTGCTCACCTTGAAAAGGCACCGCAGCCCGACACCTTCGAAGCACCTTTTCATCTTCACTCAAGGCTTTAGTGGCCACCACGGTACACTGGCCCGTGTGCGACACTCTCTCTGCATAAAGGCCTCTTGGCTGCCAAACAAACCATAAGTCGTCATTTTGTGTGTGTGTGTGTGGACAAAACTTTGTTGAGCCTGGTCTGCCCTTTACGTGTCTTTCCTAAGAAGCACACCAAACATTGCACCCATATGCCTGAGAATGGCTACTGACTTTTGCCATCTGTGCTGCTGGACCAAAAGCCACCTGGGCTCTTAGGGCGCTTCTACACAACATTCCTTTCCTACATCTCTCCAACAAGTCTCACAAGCAGTGCAGTAGATCGGAGTTAGGGTTGCCAAGAGAACCCCTGTACGTTCGGAATTTGGGGGAATCTTCCAGGTGTTTCTTCTCCATCACTGTGAAAATCTGATGAAATGGTTTCAGAGTCAGTGTATGAAATTGTCATATACCAAGTCAGACCACAGGTCCATCTGACACAGTACTCTGACTGGCAGGAGGTCTCCAGGATCTTGGCTAGAGGTCTTTCTCATCACCCGATCCCTTGAAATGGCAGACTCTAATGTGGAGAACCGGGTTCGATTCCCCACTTCGCCACTCGAAGCTAGGTGGGTGACCTTAGGCAAGTCACAACACTCTGAGCCTAGAAAATAAGCACAGCTCGCCACCTAGTGGTGCCAAAAAAGAGCTACAGCTTCAGCAGCCAAACAATCCCACTCCCCTGGGGATCTCCTGGTCACAGCCCCTCTGGACATGGCAAGCTGTAGCTAAAGAGAAGGGAAGGGACTTCTTTCGAGATGAAGACTAGAGATGAGAAGGAACCACTTCCTCCCACAATGTTCACACCCCCTCCTGCTGAGAACATTCGCCTCAGAGATAGCCGTCCTTCATGGACCTCCCCTCTCTCCCTCACCCATAATTGTCCTTAAGTCTCTTCCACACTTTCCCCCATGTTAGGCAATGACAGTCTTTTATTTATGATACTTAGAAGAAAATGTATAACACCCACAAAACTCAGAATTCACATCCCTACCTCACAGGGTTGTTTGTGAGATGATGATGATGAGGAGATTGGATTTATACCCCGCCCTTCACTTGGAGTCTCAGAGTGGCTTACAAACTCCTTTCCCTTCCCCTCCCCACAACAGACACCCTGTGAGGTAGGCGGGGCTGAGAGAGCTCTGACAGAAACTGCTCATTTTCAAGAGCAGCTCTGACAGAGTGTGGAATCAAACCTGGTTCTCCCAGATTAGAGTCCGCGCACTTAACCACTACACCAAACTGGGAAGGAAGAGCATTATATGCTGCCCTAGCCTCCTTGGAGGAAGAGCAAGATACAAACATGACAGACAGACATAGAACCACCAACTTTACCTGCTCTAAGTTTTCAAATTTCATTTTCCTTCCCATTGGGGCCCCAAAGGGACTTATAACATTCTCCCCTTTCTCCGTTTCACCCTCACAACAACCTTGAGAGGTTGGTTAGGCTGAGAGTGTGGGACTGGCCCAAGTTCACCCAGCAAGCGCCCACGGCAGTGTGGGGACTTTAACTCAGGTCTCCCAAATCCGAGTGCAGCACTCTAACCACTCCACTACACTGTCTCTCAGTTGTCAGACGCAGATCAAACAAATCCTGAGGGCTGCATTCAACAGGAGCTGGAAAGCCACAGAGGTCTAAACGATACAGTCTCAAATCAAACTCAGCGGCCAGAATTCGATAAGCCCGTGTGCCCGACTGTTGAGTTGGTAGTGAAAACTTGATGTCTGTCTGCAGACGCTCAAGCGTAAAATGGAAGATTTCTTCCTGTGTTCTGCTGACCTCTTGTGGTTAGAAAGAGAGATTCTGCTGCAGGAGAATGATCGGCCAAGAAAATGTCTAAGCAAACAGATGCATTTAATTTAGGTATGTACACTACACTTTCCACCCTGACCTGGATAGGAGGAGGAGTTGGATCTATACCCCGCCCTTCACTTGGCGTCTCAGAGCGGCTTACAGTCTCCTTCCCTTCCTCTCCCCACAACAGACATCCTGTGAGGTAGGTGGGGCTGAGAGAGCTCTTTTGAGGACTGCTCTTGAGAGAACAGCTCTCAGAGAATGGTGACTGGCCCGAGGTCACCCAGCAGGCTTCATGTGGAGGAGTGGGGAATCAAACCCAGTTCTCCATATTAGAGTCCACTGCTCTTAACCACTATAACCAAACTGGCTACACCAAACTAGCCTGATCTCATCAGATTTCAGAAGCCAAGCAGGGTCAGCCCCTGGCTAGTATTTAGAAGGGAGGCCTCCAAGGAACACCAGAGTTGTAACATGGAGGCTGGCAATGGCAAACCAGCTCTGAACATCTCTTGCCTTGAAAAGCCCCTGGGGTCACCATAAGCCTCCCAAACCATTACATTTTCTCCCCCATGATGCCCCAAAGAGGCTTTCACCATCATTCTTCTCCTCTTCCATTGTATCCTCACAACAACCACATGAGTACAGAAGCATTCATTAACTACCTTATGTAAAAGCAAACAAAGAGAAAGCCAATTTCGAAAGAGTGGCAAAACTACTCTGAGATGGAGGTAGAAATGGGTTAGTAGCGTTATGGAGAACAGCCAGTCAGTGCTGTGCACAGCTGGTTTCTGCTCCAAACCGGCAGAAATTGACTGCACAGGAAACGTTTGGAAATAAACAAGGTGTATGTGCTTTTCACAGCACCTTTGCAACTCAAATAATATGCAACTCTTCACTCAAGAAGAGTGACCACCAAGCTTTCTAGCACCTTCAGGGAAAGGAACCTACCCACTTACATGGCAAACCTGGAGGATTCTAGACAATGCACACACAAAACCAAACCATGTTTGCCTGTCAAACCCCAAAGTCACCCTGTGGCTCTCCTCCCCCTCCACAGGATCGATCCTAAACCAATCCCCTGCTATCTATAGGACTTCAGAGAGATTGTGGGTACCACTCAGCAAATCACTTAGGAGGTGTACAAAAGAGATCAGGGCCTGAAACACCTTTGTTTCCTCCCTCCCCGCCTTTTTTGAACATCCGAAGTCATTAAGAGTTCTGGAGAACTGGAAGAAAGAAATTTCCTTTGGTGCCTGGAAAGGACAGGCATAGGAGTGATAAACTAAAGTAAAGGTAAAGGTTTCCCTTGCTCAAAAGCCAGTTGAATCTGACTCTAGGGTTGCGGTGCTCATCTCCGTTTCCAAGCCGAAGAGCCAGCGCTGTCCGAAGACATTTCCGTGGTCATGCGGCCGGCATGACTAAGCGCCAAGGTGCACGGAACGCTGTTACCTTCCCACCGAATCGGTACCTATTTATCTACTTGCAATTTCTTGCTTTTGAACTGCTAGGCTGGCAGGAGCTGGGACCAGAGACGGGAGCTCACTCCGTCATGCGACACACTTGGGTCTCGAACTGCCAAACTACTGACCTTCCAGTCTGCAGCTCAGCGTCTTAACCACTTGAGCCACTAGACTGGCTTTTAAAAGCACACACAAAAATACACATGCAGTGGGGTGTATTCAACCACCTTCTAAATAGGATCCTTCTCCACCTTAAGTGGCTCTTCTTCCAAAGGAAGTGCCATTTACATCAGAGAAAGGCTTCAAGCATCAGCCAAAAGGAAAAGTGGGGTATCAATATTTAAACAAACTTTGCTCAGTGGAGTGGCTGGAGAAGGAGCAGGAAACCCCCCCCCAACTCTGTCTTAGAGCTCAAGCTTGGTGATGTTCATACGTCTCACGCCTTCGCAGAGACACGGGTCTCTTCCGCATTCTCGTTGTTGTCACTCGTCTCTGTCCCTCTTGCTTTGGGTTTCTCCCCCTTTTCCACATGTGTTTTGCTCCCCCTGGGACTCCTTGTTGTTGTTCAGTCGCACAGTCGAGTCCGTCTCTTCGCGACCCCATGGACCAGATCACGCCAGGCCTTCCTGTCTTCCACCGTCCTCTGAAGTTGGCTCAATTTCATGTTCGTTGCATCGATGACACTGTCTAACCATCTCATCCTTTGCCGTCCCCGTCTTCTTTGACCTTCAATCTTTCCCAGGTCTTCTCTAGTGAGTGCTCCCTTCTCATTGGGTGGCCAAAGTCTTTGAGCTTCACTTTCATTATCTGGCCTTCCAGGGAACAGTCAGGGTTGATTTCTTTTCGGATTGAGTGATTTGATCTTCTTGCCGTCCTGGGACTCCTAGGGAGAGCAAAACACTTTGGGGATGGAAATCGGAATGCGGAAGAGCCCAATGAGTCAAACTTGGGTGAGGCTGGAATGACAGAGGCACACGGCAAGGCAGCTGGACTCCGATCAGAAAGTACAAGAGTCGAAATCCCCTAATCTGGAGGAAGGGTGACGATCCAGGCATTCCCCAAGGCTGCGAGCCTAGAGCCTACGTGTGTGCAGAGAGCGGAGGCTGAAGCTCTGCTCGTGAGCCCCGTTGCTTTCTCATCTGCCTTCCCTCCCTCCCCTCCAAGCTGGGGAAACAACTGCTGGCTGGAAACCCAGAGCTGGAGCTGAGCAAGAGCCTCTTCGCTCCAGCAGATGGCAAAGTTCTAAGGCCCGGACGGGTGTTTTCCGTTTCACAGGATGTTCCCTGTCCTAGGCTGGCCCCGGCTTGGCAAGCAGCCTGCGGGGAGCATGCGGGATGCGTCCAGTCAGCAGTGCCACGCTCTGCCAATTAAATACAGCAATACGTGGCACTGGCTCCTCCTCTTCTTCTTTTTTAGAATTTTATTTCTGGGGACAACAAGAGCCGGCCAGGTTTTTAGGGTTAGCTAAGCCACAGCCGGCCAGCGTGTCCATCAATTACCTTCCTATGAAACAAAGGCAAGATTCAAAGATGGGTTTGATTATCCCCACACCCTATAAGCGCTGGCAGAGGAGGAAAGACGGATGGAGGGGTTTGGATTCCTGCTCCAGCCACCTCTGCCACAGATGGACGGAACGGTCTTGGCCAAGTCAGCCTTCTCCAGTCTTATTTTAGCATCCTGCTCCCTGGGTCAATTGCAAAGGGAAAGCACAACAGGCACTTTTGCACTCAGTAGGATGGCTCGGGGAGGTACATTCACACAGGCTGGAAGGAGAAGGA